GACACATTACAAAGATTGTTCTTTCCTTTATTTTATTATATTTGATCATCGTTATCATTTTTTATCTGGCGAAACAATTCATCGCAAAACAGAAGTAGGAAAGCTATAAAAGATTAAGAAGAAAATTAAGTTGATATGACAGATGGTCCTCTCACTCCCTCCCCTTTCCCTTCCCCCTCTCCCTCTCCCTCCCCTTCCCCCTCTCTCTCTCCCTCCCCTTCCCTCCCTCTCTCTCCCTCCCCTTCCCCCTCTCTCTCTCCCTCCCCTTCCCCCTCTCTCTCCCTCTCTTCTCTTGCCCTCCAAGAAAGGACAGAAATCTCCATATGTAGGCCTATATACAAATTATTATTATTATTATTTTTTACTTCTTTCAATAATTCATAATTTCCGTTCGGATCTGCCCTTTATAATATTCTAAACAAGCTTCATCCTTCTCATCTCTAATATCTTTTACATCTTGTTATATCTCTCATTTTCCTTTTTTATGATTTTTTTAACATTACCTCAAACGGAAACCCAAATTTAACCTATGCGCAATGTCAGATGTTGTAAGTATAAACATTTCTGCAACACAGTGATATTGTAAATTGACTTTTGACTCAGAAATGTCTCTCATTCTCTTCACATTTAGAAAAAAAATATGTTTGCTGATTCTAATTATTAGTGTCGGTTTCATCAATCAAACCTTTTTCGTTTTATGTTGTAATTATTTTTCTTATTTTCTTCTTGTGTGTGTGTGTGTGTGTGTGTGTGTGTGTGTGTGTGTGTGTGTGTGTGTGTGTGTGCGTATGTGCGTGTGTGTGTGTGTGTGTTTGTGTGTGTAACGCATACATACATACATATATAATTGGTAAAATTGTCTCATCTCTCCAACGACCTCTGTACATACATATATATCTTTCTATTTGACAATAAGAAGCAAATTAGTTAATTAACTCAGATGTAAATAATTCCCCCTTTATTTTCATCTTCCTATGCAACTCTCTTCTTTTCTCTTTCTCTGTGTCTTATATTTCTTACTGTTTACTTATTTGTTTAGTCATATTGTTTTGCCATTCGGGGGTCGTTTCCCGGTTCATTTCATAATACTTTTGATTTCAAGGCCTTAAATATACGAACTCCATTGACATTTCTGACAAAATAAATGAGGATGAAGATAATCGTATCAAATAAAAAATAAAATTAACGATGCGGTGATCCCAAGCCATTCGGGAGAAAGCGTTTACATCGCAAACTGAAATGTCAAATTTCAGCCTTTTGGTCTCGTTTAATAGTGAAAATAGAAAGAACCCGAATTTTAGATACATAATACATTGCAGTTTTTTGTAGTTCGTTTTTGGTTGATTTATTTGTTGTTCTTTTGTAATTATCATTAGAATAGGTTTAGTCTGCGTTTCCTGGTGGGGAATGTACGTACATGTATATTTGAAGTTGAATCTGATTTGAAGATAATGAGTAAACATATAAGTAAATAATAAAGATACACGGGAGAAGGATGAATGGATTAGATAAAGGTAGAGAGAGAGAGAGAGAGAGAGAGAGAGAGAGAGAGAGAGAGAGAGAGAGAGAGAGACAGAGAGAGAGAGAGAGGCAGAGAGACAGAGAGAGAGAGAAAACAGCAAGACAAGAAACTGCTCAAATATGCTGTAAGTATAAACAGATAGTCCTCTCACTTCCTCTCCCTCCCCCTCTCTCTCTCTCCCTCTCCCTCCACCCCCTCTCTCTCTCCCTCTCCCTCCACCTCTCTCTCTCTCTCTCTCCCTCTCCCTCCCCCCCCTCTCTCTCTCCCTCTCCCTCCACCTCTCTCTCTCTCTCTCTCTCTCTCCCTCCCCCCCCTCTCTCTCTCCCTCTCCCTCCACCTCTCTCTCTCCCTCTTCCTCCCTCTCTCTCTTCTCTTGTCCTTCTCCAGTAATGGACACAAATCTCCTTATGTAGGCCTATATACAAAATATATATTTTTTCACTTCCTTCAGTAATTCACAATTTCCGTTCGCATTTGCCCTTTATAACATTTTAAACAAGCTTAATCCTCTTCTACTCTTGTTATATCTCTCGTTTTCCTTTATTTATTTATTTATTTTAACATTACTTCAAAATGAAACCCCTATCTAACCTACGCACAGTAAAGTCAGATGTTGCAAGTATAAGCATTTCTGCCACACGGTGATATTGTAGATTGACTTTTGACTCAGAAAAGTCTCTCATTCTCTGTACATAAAAAAAATATATATATATGTATATATGTTTGCTGATTCTAATTATTAGTGTCGGTATCATAAATCGAAACCATTTTCGTTGTAACTATTATATGATTTTTCTTATTTTCCTATTTCTTCTTGTGTGTGTGTGTGTGTGTGTGTGTGTGTGTGTGTGTGTGTGTGTGTGTGTGTGTGTGCGTATGTGCGTGTGTGTGTGTGTGTGTGTGTTTGTGTGTGTAACGCATACATACATACATATATAATTGGTAAAATTGTCTCATCTCTCCAACGACCTCTGTACATACATATATATCTTTCTATTTGACAATAAGAAGCAAATTAGTTAATTAACTCAGATGTAAATAATTCCCCCTTTATTTCATCTTCCTATGCAACTCTCTTCTTTTCTCTTTCTCTGTGTCTTATATTTCTTACTGTTTACTTATTTGTTTAGTCATATTGTTTTGCCATTCGGGGGTCGTTCCCGGTTCATTTCATAATACTTTTGATTTCAAGGCCTTAAATATACGAACTCCATTGACATTTCTGACAAAATTAATGAGGATGAAGATAATCGTATCAAATAAAAATAAATTAACGATGCGGTGATCCCAGCCATTCGGGAGAAAGCGTTTACATCGCAAACTGAAATGTCAAATTTCAGCCTTTTGGTCTCATTTAATAGTGAAATAGAAAGAACCCGAATTTTAGATACATAATACATTGCAGTTTTTTGTAGTTCGTTTTTGGTTGATTTATTTTGTTGTTCTTTTGTAATTATCATTAGAATAGGTTTAGTCTGCGTTTTCTGGTGGGGAATGTACGTACATGTATATTTGAATTTGAATCTGATTTGAACATATAAGTAAATAATAAAAGATACACGGGAGAGGGATGAATGGATTAGATAAAGGTAGAGAGAGAGAGAGAGAGAGAGAGAGAGAGAGAGAGAGAGAGAGAGAGAGAGAGAGAGAAGAGAGAGACAGAGAGAGAGAGAGAGAGAGAGAGAGAGAGAGAGAGACAGAGAGAGAGAGAGAGGCAGAGAGACAGACAGAGAGAGAAACAGCAAGACAGAAACTGCTCAAATATGCTGTAAGTATAAACAGATAGTCCTCTCACTTCCTCTCCCTCCCCCTCTCTCTCTCTCCCTCTCCCTCCACCCCCTCTCTCTCTCCCTCTCCCTCCACCTCTCTCTCTCTCTCTCTCCCTCTCCCTCCCCCCCCCTCTCTCTCTCCCTCTCCCTCCACCTCTCTCTCTCTCTCTCTCTCTCTCCCTCCCCCCCCCTCTCTCTCTCCCTCTCCCTCCACCTCTCTCTCTCCCTCTTCCTCCCTCTCTCTCTTCTCTTGTCCTTCTCCAGTAATGGGCACAAATCTCCTTATATAGGCCTATATACAAAATATATATATTTTTTCACTTCCTTCAGTAATTCATAATTTGCGTTCGCATTTGCCCTTTATAACATTTTAAACAAGCTTAATCCTCTTGTACTCTTGTTATATCTCTCGTTTCCTTTATACGCACAGTAAAGTCAGATGTTGCAAGTATAAGCATTTCTGCCACACGGTGATATTGTAGATTGACTTTTGACTCAGAAAAGTCTCTCATTCTCTGTACATAAAAAAAATATATATATATGTATATATGTTTGCTGATTCTAATTATTAGTGTCGGTATCATAAATCGAAACCATTTTCGTTGTAACTATTATATGATTTTTCTTATTTTCCTAGCATTCTTCTTGTGTGTGTGTTGTGTGTGTAACGCATACATACATACATATATAATTGGTAAAATTGTCTCATCTCTCCAACGACCTCTGTACATACATATATATCTTTCTATTTGACAATAAGAAGCAAATTAGTTAATTAACTCAGATGTAAATAATTCCCCCTTTATTTTCATCTTCCTATGCAACTCTCTTCTTTTCTCTTTCTCTGTGTCTTATATTTCTTACTGTTTACTTATTTGTTTAGTCATATTGTTTTGCCATTCGGGGGTCGTTTCCCGGTTCATTTCATAATACTTTTGATTTCAAGGCCTTAAATATACGAACTCCATTGACATTTCTGACAAAATTAATGAGGATGAAGATAATCGTATCAAATAAAAATAAAAATTAACGATGCGGTGATCCCAAGCCATTCGGGAGAAAGCGTTTACATCGCAAACTGAAATGTCAAATTTCAGCCTTTTGGTCTCATTTAATAGTGAAAATAGAAAGAACCCGAATTTTAGATACATAATACATTGCAGTTTTTTGTAGTTCGTTTTTGGTTGATTTATTTGTTGTTCTTTTGTAATTATCATTAGAATAGGTTTAGTCTGCGTTTTCTGGTGGGGAATGTACGTACATGTATATTTGAATTTGAATCTGATTTGAACATATAAGTAAATAATAAAGATACACGGGAGAGGGATGAATGGATTAGATAAAGGTAGAGAGAGAGAGAGAGTATATTTTAGCCTGTTTTTTTGTCGGCCTGTTCTGTAAATGTTTTCTGATGGGTCATATTATTTATTTATTTATTTTAACATTACTTCAAAATGAAACCCCTATCTAACCTACGCACAGTAAAGTCAGATGTTGCAAGTATAAGCATTTCTGCCACACGGTGATATTGTAGATTGACTTTTGACTCAGAAAAGTCTCTCATTCTCTTTACATAAAAACATATATATATGTATATATGTTTGCTGATTCTAATTATTAGTGTCGGTATCATAAATCGAAACCATTTTCGTTGTAACTATTATATGATTTTTCTTATTTTCCTAGCATTCTTCTTGTGTGTGTGTTTGTTTGTGTGTGTGTGTCTGTAAATTAAGCGTTCTTAAATATATGTGTGAATAGCAAAACACATATCGTATAATATGATATCAATATGATTAAACTGGCAAATAACGAATAAGCAACTGAGAGAGAGAAAGAGAGAGAGAGAGAGAGAGAGAGAGAGAGAGAGAGAGAGAAAGAGAGAGAGAGAGAGAGAGAGAGAGAGAGAGAGAGAGAGAGAGAGAGAGTATATTTTAGCCTGTTTTTTTGTCGGCCTGTTCTGTAAATGTTTTCTGATGGGTCATATATCTATTTATTTTTGTGTGTGTGCATGTGCTTGGGTATGTGTGTGTGATAGGTGCTTTGGTATCATATCTTTGCTTTTTGTAGGGCATGTGCACTGTTCTGTAAATTAATATTATCATATCTTATGACGCTCTGTCTCTTTCTCCCTCCCTCTCCCTCTCTCTCATACTCACTCACTCTCTCTCTATTCTTATCTGTCTCCACTCCCCCCCCCCCCCTCACCACACGCTCGTACACAAAAACATATTTTCTTTTTCTCTCTCGCTGCCTGTGTAACTCACATTTTTTTTTTTTTTACACTCTGTTGTAATAAGACTTACTGTTAAGATGCCAACATGCATTGCAAACGCTTTCGTGCCTACTGCGAGCACATTATTTGAAAAGATCCCCGCGTGCAGCATGAGCACATTAATGCTTACTGATACGCGTGTTACAAGTGCATCTGTCGTGATCTACAAAGTTAACTTCGACCCTTGTACGAAATATTTGGGCTGCCACCACCTGGTTAATTCGTCCGGGAACGTATGTGTCCTGTTTGGAAAGTGAGAGGCATGTAGAAGAGTGTAGGTAAGTTAAAAGAAAGCAAGTGTAAGTGTGTAGAAAGTACGAAGGTTCGAGGGTCAACACTGGTTAGCGTGAATAAGGCCGAGATGGAGTGCGTGACGATTGTACAGACTATGATTTCAAAGAAGTTAAATCTGATTACTTTAAAGTCCTTGGACGCGAAGAGGGAAACATTATGGAGTCTAAAAAAAACAGTAAATACATCTCACACACAAAAGTTTATTAAAAGTATAAATCCTTTAGTTTAAAGACAATAAAAAAATGGAGAATCACCCCCCATATTCCAAACACAGGTGGGAGTAAAAGTGAAAAAAAACTGACGTTAAAAAGAACACAACCCTAAACTTCAAACACGTAAATGAGCACTGGTAAAACAAGATAAACAAGATAAAAAAGAACACTGAACCGTAAAGATTAAAAAGAGAACACTGAACATTAAAACTGAATGCGGAAAAAAAGTTAATGAACTCACTAAAAAACACTGAGCAGCAAAGATAAAAAAAGAGCACATCACCTCATTTAAAAGAGCGAAAAAAGTAAAAAGATGCCCTCTTACCGCCTCTTACTGTGTAAAACCTCGCGACCAGGGACCAAACGCCTCACGGGTAGAAGATGCTCAACCCCCCTTGATCTGGCCATTCGGGACCTATATATAACCTTAAAACTTTACTAGAAAAAGAGTAAAAAAATTATATGATCCACCATGAGGCTGAATGTGTTCTTTTGTGCCGTTTAGGTGAGAGAAAACGAGAATAAAAATAGAAATCAATATAATTCACAACATAAAAATCTTTACAACACCATAAAATCATATGCACCACAACATTTTCCCCTCCCCAGCTTCCCGGTTATCCACGGGCGGCCTTGTTTGCTTTTCAGAGGGGAGACTTTCTTTCCTTCGATTCCTCCGCCACTTGGCTGGAGATTCACTACACATCCACTATTACAAGCACATACACTCATAGGATTAATTTCATTATTGGAAGTATATCCACGAGCACATGCAATCATTTTGTTTTCACGGGTGCCATATACCTACAGAAACTATCATAATAACAACAATAATAAAAATGATAATCGGTCATAGATAGATAAGGAGCAAGCCATTGTTACCAGTGTTTTGATGTATCATGTGACGTCACCCAGCGTCAGGACCTCATTCGTGGTTTGTCTATTAACCTATTCATTTTACAGTTTGAAGTTTCTTAAATCATTTTTATCCCGATACTCGATACGAATAAGTCCACTGGTCGACGCACACTCCACCTCAGACATCCAGAGTATCAGCCTTTGAAACTTGGTATGGTTAAGTTCCATACACTTACATTTATTCTCTAATTTCATTTTCCCTCGTCTAGATGCCTCTCACTTTCCGAACGCATAAATTAACGCTCCTGGAGGAGCTACCCAGGTGGTGGCAGCAATATTTTCATCCCAATGGTCAATGACCCGTACTTAGCCAGTGTACATTATCGACAGTTCAAGTGTAGGGTGTATGTATGTATGTGATGTATGCTTGTACGCCAAGACACATTTTTAGTAAGTTTAGTAAGTTGATATGGCCATCTGATTATTCACAACACCGAATGAGATCAGATAATGAGAGTTAAGATAGTACTGTCAGGACATAAGCGGAGATGATATTTGGGGTTAAAATCCATGCACACTGGCAGACTATCTCCCTCATCCACGTTTCTGACCCACGCACATATAATCTAGGATTCATATGACGTCATAGGGGATGATACAGACGTGACGTCAGAAGTTACGACCTAGTTCAGGGAAATACCCGACGGGCGATAACACCTTTTCACCCTTTGCTAAAATGGCCAGAACACTTGGTGAATTCACACATTGGGTCCAGTTACGTCATACAGACCAGGATGTATTGGCTGAGAGCATTTTGTCACCTGCAAAGAACAGTAACCGCTAGAAGCAGAGACTAGCAAGAAGCTTATCGACTTGCATGCAGATTGATAGACCAGCTAAGGTTATAACAACAGCTATCGTTCCTGAAATGATTTACTAGGGTTTTCTCTTATTATGCATAGTGTTCCGGGCTGGCTCATACCCCTCCAGCTGGTGCACAGCAAAACTTCAAGCGAGGTGATAGGACTATTCCACCAAATTTCAGATGGATGAATATCACGTTTTCAACCCCCTGTATGTGGGCATGTTTACAGTGTGTTGTGAAAGGGTAAACAGATAAGACAAGGCAAGTAAGTGAATCATTGGTGACAAAATGCTTGTGGCGCCATGTATGTGTAAGAAGCAACCAGTATGCTAAAGTTATAGTGAATATTGAATGCGTATTATACCATCCCAGCACAAAGGGTTACTCCGTATGGTAAGGCGATTGCCAAACGTTTGCAACATTAGCTTACCCCGCAGGGATTCCCAGACTGTTTTAGCTGCGACCCCTACAAGTTACATCGATGCATTCTCGACCCACAATCCCAGCAACAAAATTGTATCTATTATCGGTATTACAAGATCACTAGTGTGAAGTGCTTTACACAGCAAAAAATCATGTATACACAAGAAAGCATGCATGCATAACGTGGCTGTATGATACATTATCGAGCATCGGACAGGTCGACCACCGCTGACAAGTACTAGACACGTTAGGACGGTTAGAGGGAGGAAGAGGAGGGGAAGGAGGAAGAAAGAGGAGAGGTTGTAGGATCTAGCGACCCCACAAATGACTTCGCGATCCCTCTAGAGGTCGGAACCCCCACTTTGAGAACCTCTGCCATAGAGAAAACAGGCTGTTAGCCACCCAAGCTGCGATTGTGCAAAAGGCATTAAAACTCTGAGGTTGCTGATAGATATAGGCAATTAGAAGAAATTCCGCCTCCGTGTATGTTGTATAGCCATGCCGTGCGATCGTGGTGGCTGCATTGTGGCCGTGTCCCGCGTCACACACAGTCGTACGTCGCGCGGCGGGGCCCACTCCGCGCCTCTTGATCTGAGTGTGAACGATCTCGTCAAGTTAATAAAGAAGAATGGTTCCCAACGGATTCCTCTCCTCGCTCTATTTGGTGTCGCCCCCCCCCTTCTCTTCCCCTCCACCAGGAACGTTAAAGCTGCCAATGCGCGGGTGTTGTAGTGTGGTAGTGGTAGAGGTTCATGTATGCATACCTAGATTGGCAAGCAGATGGATAGATATATAGATATATAGACAAAGAGACGAACAGACAGAGAGACAGACGGACAGACAAAAAGATAAAGGTAAATAAGTGGAAATATGGGTATATATGGGTATATAAGTATATATATGTATATATACATATATATGTATATATATATTATATGTATATACATACCTATATATGCTATATATATGCATACACACACATATATATACAGTTTTATGTATATATACATATATATGTACATATATATGTATATATATAGACATAGAGACACACACGTATATATATACACACACTCACTCACTCATATATATCTATATCTATCAATATATCTATCTATATACACATATGTATGTCTGTATATATATATATATACACACACACTCGTGTGCGTACATATATATATACATACATATATATGTATGTATGTATACCAGTGGTTCTCAAACTGGGTGCCGCGGCACCCTGGGGTGCCACGGACAGCGCCTAGGGGTGCCACAAGATTGCCATGAATTTTGTCTTGGCTAGATCGTTTCAAGGTACATTTGTAAAACAGTTTGCAGCAGTCTGCCTATAATTAAATGTCGGTGTAGGAAGTTACTTACTCTAATATTTTACTAAAATATAGGTAGATATTTCCTTTTGTACACTTGTACTACTACTACTACTACTACTACTGATAGCATAATAATAATAATAATAATAGTAATAATAATAATAATAATAATGTCAATAGAATGTAATAGTACTCCTTGCCAAACCAAATTTTAGTTAATTTATGTTAATTTTGGTTTGAGTACGGATAATAATTTTAAATCATTAATTAAAGTAATTCAAACAGGTACAATTTTATATCAGAAGTTAATTCATGTGAGGAGGGGTGATGGTGAAAAAGGGGTGCCACAGAAAGTATTATATAAATTCAGGGTGCCATCATTGAAAAAAGATTGAGAACCACTGATGTATACATACACACACTCAGTGTATATGTAAGCGTAAGTGACCACCGCAAGTCACTAGATGTAAGCGTAACAGAGATGGGCTTGGGGCGGTCAATGAAAGGGGTCTTAACTTGCTGGTTTATTTCTGAAGGTAGATATGAGACCCCCAAGAGACCCCCGTGTCCCCGGGTGGAGGGCGAGGTGGTGGAGCTGGACCCTGTGTGGCCTGTCTGCCGTGTCTCCGTGTCTCACTCTCTCGTCTTAGGCGCGTGCCCTTTTATGCGGCGGTTTCCTTGGAGGGCGGATGTTTATCCTGTGCGAAAAGAGAAAGGAAGGCAGCACCTGCACCTCACACCTCAGGTGTGAATCTGCTATCCGGTCTTGCTACGTATTGTTCACAGTATATATACATATATACATATATATATTAATATATATACATGTGTGTGTGTGAGTATATGTATGTATGTGCGTCTGTATGTACACACACTCACACACATGTAGCTTGTTAATTCAGTGAATGTCTCTTGCATTATTCATAATCGTGATTATACAACTTGCAACTTCTGAATTCCTTAAGTGCTTTTTATGCAACATACTTTCTCCGAGAAATCCTATCCCTGCCAGGTTTTTTGCACAAATTATCATCTGAGAAGATAAACGGGAAATCACACAGAGGGCAAAGAGAGAAAATTAATATGAAATTCACACTTGTTTGTTTTCTCTGCAAGTCTTGATAAATGAAACTATGCGCATTGGCATAGTTTCATCCCCGTGGTAACACTTTGTTAGGAAGGAATATGTCTATATCTATATCTATATATCTATATCTATCTATCTATATACCTGTGTGTATGTGTGTGTGTGCTTACCTAATTGTTCTTACCTAATTGTTTCAGTACGGGATAAGAGCTAAACTCAGATGGTCCCGTCGCTATATTTGAATTGCCATATAACTTTATAAATTGAGTCACGTTTTTTAACACACAACGTTATTTGCAAGATTGTTCCATGTTTCAACAGTTCTGTTTGGGAAATTGAACTTCTTGACATCTCTTTCGGCTCTGTAGTCTTTCTTCGTAGCTCATATCTCTTAGAGTAGGTGTCCATCTCGTGGCTGCTCTTTGAACTCTTTCTAGTTTATCTATATCATTTTTAAGCGTATGGTGCATACCACAGCACCATACTCAAGACTAAGTCTTATGATGGCTGTAATGACCGTGTCTTTGTCCGCCCTCTTCATGTTGACAATCACTCCTAGCATTTTATGAACCTTGTCATTTATATGATGATTTGGTCTTAGGTTTCTGTTTATGATTATCCCAAGGTCTTTTTCTTTATCTGCTTGGTTTAATATTACGTCTCGTAACTTCTATTGGTATATCAACGATTTTTAGTTTCTTCGAACTTGACTATTTGGCACTTATTGGTGTTAAATTCCACTTTCCATGTACATCTCCAAATGAATGTGTATGTATAAACTTGCATTTACATATACATATTTACAGAGAAAGCAAGAGAGCAATAGTCTTCAAGGACAATACAATTAGGATTACAAGAATCGACAACAGCGCAAAGGAGAGCGCGACGCCAGGCCAATATAAGGCCCCTGGCGCTTCCTCGCGGCTCAGTCTCGGCGCCGACGTCCTCCTCAGGCTGTGCGTCTGTAAGTAGACATGCGGAGATATGTTTGTTTATGCAGACATATTTGTGTACAGTGCATATATATGTGTATATATATAGTTATATTCATATATTCATACAAGTTTATACACATATATTGCACGTGTGTGTCTATATATATATGAACATATGTATATTTATATCTACACACATATATATTCCCAGGTGAAACAGGGACGCTACTAACTGGTGGTGTTTGCCCACCGGTTCCCTCATCATCAGTTTTCATCCACCTAACACGTCATCAATTCTCTCTCACAAAAGTCTAAAATCTTCACAAATCTCTAAATCCTCTACAATCCTACTACTAATAACATGACTCACAAAAACGCTTATTCTGTGGGTGTGACACTGGCTTCCTTAACCCATTCGCGCCGGGCGTCACGTATACGTGACGGGCCTACTGCGAGTTTACTTGTTTGATTGTTTTCACCCATAGATGGCTACACTTGTACTTGTACTGCCTGTCTCGACTTTTCTTTAGTTTACGAAATTATTTTGCGTTATCTTATATTGATGTTACTAATGTTCATAACATTATAGTAATTATAATGTTCATAATAAAAATAACCATCGATATTCATAGCACGAATAAAAAATACATTTTCCCGCCAAATGAAATCAGGTAAGGCAGAGCCATCTAGTGTAGAGAAATTTCACAAAAAAGTATAAAAAATGAGCACAGCATTTTCCCCCATTTTTTGTTCATTTTTACCCGGCGCGAATGGGTTAAGATGGCATTAATCATCGGCTCACTGTGAGACACAATGACTGACCATTGCAAAGGGGTTAGTGCCCGTCGCTTGTCTTTCCACAGTTCATTGGTTGAATATCCTTGAGCATTTCTCATTTACTTAATATCACTATATTGTGCATTAACTTAATATCACTACATAATTTTGGTATATATAACAATATGGAATTAAGAAAGCCATAACTTTTAATTTGGAGCGGTTGGCACTCCTGGCCTGTTTTAGTGATGTACTAACTTAAATATCAGAGGGAGTGAAGACAGAGGATAAATGTGGATCTGAAGGCAGTCCGTGGTTGACTTGAAGAGTTCTGTTGCAAGAATTGCAACAGAACTGGTACTGCATAGGATCTTGCCCTTCCCTTGGGTACGTCAGTGATGTAAAGAGGAGGACCTGCTGCATGGGCAACATCACTTTGTTACTGGCCTGCACATGTCCCATTATGAGAGTGACAAGTATCGCTGTTCTTCCTCAGAGCCCCGTTAAGATGAGCCCGACGGCAATAGTAAGCTTGCTGTTCCTGGTGGCCTTGGCGACGACGGAGGGCCTCGCGGGAAACGGAACCGTGCTGGCGGGCTTTCCGGCCCTGGGCCATCGCTTCCGCAACTGCCACGAGGTGCAGCAGGCCATCGCCGGCAGCGCCGACGGCGTGTACGTGATCTTCCCGTACGACTGCTGCCCCGAGCGGCCCGTGCGCGTGTGGTGCGACATGACGAGCGACGGCGGCGGCTGGACGCTGATCCAGCGGCGCGACGACTACGCTGAGCAGGAGGACTTCTTCCGGACGTGGACCGAGTACGTCCTCGGCTTCGGCAACGTGGCCAAGGACCACTGGCTCGGCCTCGACCACATCCACGCACTCACGAGCCAGAGCCTGAGCCAGATCCGCTTCGACCTGGCTGACTTCGAGGGCGAGTCCCGTTGGGCCAAGTACGACTTCTTCTACGTGCACGACAAAAGCAACTCCTACAAGCTCGAAGTGAACTCCTACAGCGGCGACGCCGAAGACTCCTTCACTACCCACGGCGGGAATAGATTTTCCACCAAGGATCGCGACCATGACCTGGCGGATTCAAACTGCGCACAATCGTAAGCATTTCTTGCTATGATTCTTGAACAATATTACTATCATCACTGGCATTATTATCATTGTTATTATCACCATTATTATAGGCATTATCATTGTTATTATCGTTCTTATCATCATCATCATCATCAGTATTATTAGTGTTGTGCTGTTGCTGTTATTACATTTGTTGTTCTATTGTTTTTACCATTATTACTAAGTGACTAGTTATGCCATTTGCCTCACATAGGTAGGGTAACGGAGCCAGTGACCAGTGAAGCTCTCCAAACCCACATTCTACTCCACGTCCTTCTATAAAGCAACTCTCAGTCTGACCATCCAAGCCTAGACGCCAGATAATAAGGGCATGATTCTAAAGTAACAAATTCTCTCGCAGGTACAAGGGCGCTTGGTGGTACACGAATTGTCACTCGACGAATCTCAACGGCTTGTACTACAGGGGACACCACGAGTCATATGCAGATGGCATTAACTGGTTTGACTGGCACGGACACCATTACTCCTTGAAGACAGTGACCATGAAGATCAAACCAAGATTCTAAAAGATGGCCAAAAAAGAAAAAAAAACGAAGGAAATCATTTAGTGCTAGTGGTAGTTCAAAAAGTTTAGAAGAGTTGGTAGTATTCTTATTAGACATTTGAAGTTTCTGACTAATAGTTCTTGTCAAGATCCTACAGAATCATACTATAAAGTTACTTAAATTATTTTATTACGCTGGTTTGATTAAAGACACTAGACCCTTTATGCAAAATGTTATAGCATAAAGAAAAAAATCTGAGACCTGAAAAAAGTTGTAGTGGAAGTAATAACTATGGCTTTAATGAATGATAAACATTTATTAATCTCTCTCTCCTCCTCCATCCTCGATTACTCTTATACACCCCCGTTCTCTCTTCTTTCTTACTCTTTATTCGTATGTAACAATCCTCCTCCATTTTTGTCTTTTATTGAATATCAACATCTAAAAACATCATTTTCCTTCTCCTAGAGAAAACTTAGAATTGTATTTACATGCGCTATACTTGTCTTATGGTGTCTGGTGTTTCTCTACGATACTTGAGGCTGAAAACACCGATGAAAACTAAAGTAGGTTCATTGGAGATCAGCTCATGTTCCTCTGCCCCACACGCCAGGCTCCTCCAGAGAGAGTATCGCTGCCAAGCGTGTGACTGCAGAGCTAAAATAAATGATTGTACTCTGCAAATCGTACAAAGAATACGTTACTCACACGAAAAAAGAACACTAAGCACATCGAAAAAAAACAAAACAAAAACAAACAGACATACGTTGCAGCTCATTAATCCCAGAGAGCATAATTATAAATATCCAAGATGGCCTAATGAGTTAAACACCTGCCTTCGAGGCGGGGGGGGGGGGACTGGGGTTCCATTCCCCAGTCCTTTTCATTTTACTTTTGGTAACAATGCTGACAAAATTTGTGAAGAGAAATAGGATCATAATAAATGAAATAAAAAGAATCTATTCAGGAAAAGCGCTTATATCGAGGTTCAAGAATCTTCAGCCAATGGTTTGATAAAACTTCCTGTAAATAAGAATTGTTAGACGTTTTGGGATTTCATTCAATTAGACTTGCTACCAAGTGTGCAAAATGTTAAATGAAGAATATCTAGTGGGCAAGGAGAAAGAATAAGCGAGATTAGTTGGTGGACAGATATATATATATACACGGACAGAGACAGATTGATGCATAAACAGAGATAGAGTGCGAGTGTATTTGTGTTTCACATATACACACATAGACAAACGAGATACAAACTAAACACATTTTATTGTTAATTTCATCGCATAGGCCTATCCTTCGTACAGAAACAACATCAAGACATTTTAATTTTTTTATGATTCACTAATTTTCCCTCGGATCCGCCCGTGGATAATCGACTGATTTCTCATTTTCTTCTCTACTGTCTCTTGCAAATATTGTTCTTGTTTTTCCTTTTTTTCCAACGGAAACGCCAATCTAAATTTATGTGAAATGATGTCAAGATAAGAGAGTCGGCTCGACTGTTGTGTATTTCTCTCGCACTGGGATATTATGCAGTCTCTCATTCTCTCTCCCTCCCTCCTCTCTCTGTTTATCTCTCTCTCTTCAACTTGTATACTAGATATCCTTCATATATTAATACACACTAGCATTTTTTTGACATATTAATAATGAAGTAACACTACTATTTTAAGTATAGGTTTAAAATAACACAACAGTAGCCAGGTGGCAATTTATTTTTATCTATTATGCACTTTCTATCCGAGGATTTCATGGTTTGTAACAGATAAAAATAGATACAAAAATAGATACTTCAAATACTGTTCTTATCTATCCCTATTACTGTTATTTATCACTTATATTCATTTGGATCATTATTCTACCCACCCATACCACTCGTATCACGATTAATAATGCTATTATTTTTATCCTTCGCATGTACCTCTTTATTTGTCTTCCTCTCTCTTTCTCCATCAGTCGTCTCCGTTTCCGTCCCTCTCTCTCCTTCCTACCTTCCTTCCCTGAAGGTCAGCTGTTCGTCTTCCGCAGCGTTCACTCTTCTGCCTGAGGATTTTACATCAGTTGTGCGGTGAGTCGTTTCGCTAAACGAAAAGATAAGAGAAAGTGATGAACAAATCTGGTAGTTTATGTTTGTTTTTGGTTGACTATGTAAATGTTGCATACTCCTTTGTTTATATTTATGTGGGTGTTGTAAGGCGTATGTCCGAATATACATGAATGACAAGGCGCTCACTCTATATCTATCTCGGTCCGTATATAAATCACATATTTCTGTCTTTCAGTTAATCTCGCTCTCACTCTTTCTCCTTGTTCACTAGATATTCAGCATTTAACATTCTACGCACTGGCATCATGTTTGGGTGAATTATCCCACTTACAATTGTGTAAATTCTGTTTGATCATTTTACAAATATTCTAGATGGTTTATTTATGGCCGTGAAACCGAAAAAAGAAAACAAAATGAAAAGGACTGGGAAATTGAAGGGAAGTGGAGAGAGAGAAAGTGAATAGATAGATAAGTAGATAGATAGAACTATAGATAAATAGATAGAAAGATAGATAGAGACATAAATATATATATACAGATAGATGGATAGATAGATGGATAGACTGATAGATGGATGGATAGATTGATAGATGGATTGACCGATAGATGGATAGATGGATACATGGGTAGATTGATACGTGGACAGACAGACAGATAGATACCATTATCATTACTATTATCACATAAGTTTGCATTTTTCCCCAGGTTTATGACATTTCTGCGTATATCAATCATCTGCTGTCTATTACTCGTCCAGTTATTCTTTTGCCAAACATCATCTTTCTTCCATCTTCCTTCTTTCTCTGTTTGCTTCTTTCTTCATATTCATCGTTTGCACCACACGTTTCTTCCCTTGTACTGTGTCTAATTCTCCATAGCGATGCTACCTCCTCTTCTGCATTATATATGTATATACATATATATATATATATATATATATATATATATATATATATATATATATATATACATATATACACACACACACAAATATATATGCATATATGTATATATATATATATATATATATATATATATATATATACATATATATATATATATTTATTCAGTTTTCCTCATCACTGATTTATTTTTCTGTTCACTGTGACAAATGCAGGAAATCATGAATATCTTCACAAAACAAACTATATAATTTTCGTGGTATATGTTTATAGGTGATATGATTTTGACGAAGATTTTGACTCGTTTGCAGGAACGAGTCAGTCGCATCTCTTGCTCGAAGCAGGAATTCAAGATAGAGAGGGAGAGAGGGAGAGAGAGAGAGGGAGAGAGAGAGTGAGAGAAAGCAAAAGAGAGAGAGAGAGAGAGAGAGATAGCGAGAGAGAGAGAGAGAGAGAGAGAGAGAGAGAGAGAGAGAGAGAGAGGAGAGATGAGATGAGATGAGAGAGATATCATAAATGTCCACTCCACTAAAAACTACCTAAAAGTCCGCATAGATGAGTATATTTG